CACAGCAGATTGGATGCACAATGAATGTCTGCTGGAAGCATGGACAGATCCCAACTCTCGGAAGCAGGTGTTGGAGGCTTGACCATATAGACAAGGCAGGACCTTCTCCTCAACGAATTGTAAGCATCTCTGATGGTTGACATGTGACCTGCCTGCCCCACACCCAGTCACAACTTGTACTGCTGCCATAATAAATACCACAGGTTAGCTTAAAAGAGCACAAGTTTATTATTTTACAGTTCTGGAGACTAAAATGGATCTCACTGGGCTAAAAAAGTGTCCAAATCTTAATCTCCGGGACCTGCAAATATTACTGACGTGGCTAAAGGAACTTTGCAGATGTGATTAAATTAAGGATTTTACAATTCAGAGATTATCCTGGATTATCCAGTGGGCTCAATGTAATCACAAGGGTCCTTTAAGGGTCAGCGAAGGAGAGGCGAGGACAGACGCAAAGTAATGCAGCCACAAGCCAAAGAATGCGAGCGGCCCCTAAGAGCTGGACATGGATTTTGCCCTAGAGCCTCCATAAGAGGAATGCAGCCTTTATAACACTTTGATTTTAGCCCCTGAAGAGCCATTTGGACTGCTGACCTCCAGAATGGCAACATGATACATCCGTGTGCTTTGTTACAGCAGCTTTAGGAAACTCATACATGGTCACTGTGGTCCAGCCCTTTGTCAGAAATGCATGGCAAGCAGCAGCCCTTCAGAAGAGAGCAAGGATGGGCTGGCCTGTGCTGGCCTGTATCCCAGATTCCCAGGATGCTGGAAAGGCCCAGAGGCCGGGCTCCTTTCCCTGGTTAGATGAGGTCAAGGGCAGACAAAAGGGAAGAACACACGAAGACAGTGGCCTTAAGGTGACTAGAACTTTACCAAACCCTGTGGAAGGACTCAGAAGCTGATGGGTCTAGATCCCAGGCTAAAGTCTAAAGTCAGCTGGGCAAAGTGACAGTACTAATAAAAGGCATTGGGGCTGGGGAAAGAGCACTGGACTGTGAGTCCTACCTGAGCCTGGCCCTGCCATTGACTGGCCAGGAGAGCTCAGGCAATTCTCCACCCTCCTCTGGGTCTCAGTTCCTCAGTGAGTTATCAGGGGCTTAAAACGTTTTGTTGGTTTTTTTTTAAATAGCAGACTCCTTTTTTCAAACAAAATCTTTCTTGTGTGACTTAAATTTGTTATAATGAATATTCATAATAACAGCAAGCAATTAATCTGGACTTGCTTCATCCCAGAGACTCTTCTAAGCACCTTATAAATACAAATTGATTTAAACGTTTAGCACTCATAACAAATCAATGGGTGCATTCTATCATCTTCATTTCACAAATGAGGGGATGGAGACACAGAAAGGTTAAGAAATTTGCTGAAGGTCACCCAGCCAGGGAGTGGCAAATTCTTGATTTGAGCCCATGCACTCCAGATCCAAAGGAGAGGGGGACAGGCAGGAGGAGAGTTCACCGGAGGTTAAGTCGAGATACACAGTGAAGAGTTGAGAAATGGGGAAGGACAGAGAGGGAGTGGGGACCAGCATGAGCCGGAAAGATCGTTTCGGAGTCTGGTCACTGTCTTCACAGCTGTGGGTGCTGAGAAAATCGGGGAGTCAGGGGAAGGAGGAAGAACAGGGTCTCTGAATGGGCTGAGTGTGGAGCCTGGGCCACAGCGTTTACTAGGGTTTGGGTTACACTGACAGACCTACTATGGGAAACTGATCAGAGTGGGGCCAACATAGGGAGGCAGGGCGTCTCGTGCCTGCGTCCTCCCTCCTGTCATCCTCCACCCCAGGTCCTCAATCATTTGGCACCCTCCACCTCAGGCTCCAAGGACCAAGACCACCTCCATTCGATCAGCTTCTCTGACCACGTGTGGGTCTGTCCCCACAGCCCAGGTCACAGGTCGCCCAGTAAGGCCAGCAGCTCCTGTGACCCTCTCCAGGCTCAAGCTCAGCATTTCCTCCCGGATCCTTGCATCAGAACTCCAAGTCTCCTTACGTACAGATTCCAGCCAGCAAGGTGACCCTGAGCAGGCCTTTTCCCTAGGCCTCCAGACCTTGCCCACAAAGCAAAGCCAATAACGATAACTTCCCTCTGGAAGCCAAGAGTCTGGGCCTCAGAACCTCTTAAGGAAATTAAGAAGAGCCACCGTGCAGGGAACACCTACACGAGAAGATGGCTTTGCCATTTCATCCATCACTTCTTTGACTGTCCTCACTTGACCAGTGAGAAAACAGAGGCCCAGAAAAGGACAGTGACGGACCAAGGACACACCACAAAGTAGTGCAGAGCCAAGGCTAGGACCCTGACCCTAGAGATCACTCCTCTTCCTCCTCCCCACGAGCACACCCGCCAAACCCACAGAGGGGCCTGCTCTGTGCTTCTGCCCCAAACCCCTCTATTCTCATATTATTTTTTACAAACAAGAAAATGAGGCTCAGAGGTATTATTAAGTCACCTGCCCAAGGTCACCCAGTCACTCACGTTGGAGCCAGGGATACAGGCTCACACCTCTGCCCGGTCCATCACGCATCCTCCTGAATTCCCAGCGGCGGGAGGCTGGGCTTCTCTGAACCTGTCCCAGACCTGGGCTGGTTCAAAGCAGCAAAAAGTTCCTCCTGCCGCTTCCAGCTGAGCACCTGCCCATCAGCAGCACCCCTCCCTCCCGCCTCCCGCCAAGGAGCCTCCAGGGTGCCAGGGACGGATGCCTTGGCCCCAACTTGTCCTCTGCTCCCTCCGAGTTATGCTCCTCCTTGCAGGGGAGGAAGGGCAGCTCTCCTAGCTTTCCAGGCGGCTGGCAGAGCAGCGGCGGCGGCTGCTCCAGCCCACTGCCTGGCTGATGGAGAGATTATTGCTAAGCCCTTCCCATTCCCCACCCCCGCCCCCCGCCCCTGGCAGGACCACACTGGCTGTCCGGTGGGACCCGGAGTGCGTGCAGAGCCTGCAGCTGAAACAGGACAGCTGGACCAGCTCTCCCCCACAGCGTGAACCCCTCAGACCTTTCCCTCTCCTGGGGAGAGGGGCTCCTGTGTCCTTTTAAAACCCCCACCCCACGCCCCCAGGGCTGTTCTGCAGCTGCTAGAGAGAGAGAGATGCAGCATGAAAGGACTCCGGGTTTCTGGAAGAGACGAGGGAAGAAGGTTGGAAACTAACTCTGCCAGAAACTGCCGTGTTTGGGATTTCCTTGTCTTTCCCTTCACTTCCACCAAGAGCCTGTCTCTTCCCGGGACATCGAGACATGGGCTCCTCTCGCTGGGCAGAGAAGCAGCTGGGAACCGGCTCTCTGAGACGGGAGGGTGAGTTGCACTTTGGGGGAAGAAGTTATTGTTTGCTGCAGGGGTGGGCGTTGGCAGGACATTAAAACACCCTTGGCCAGAGTGCTGTTCGAGGGACCCCCTCTCCCGTGCTCTGGAAGGAGCTCTGTGTGCCGGCTGTTTCGGGGAGCAGCGGATGGCAAAGTTGGGTTTGTGCCGTGAATGCAGAAAGTGCAGTGTTGAGGGTTCTAGAAAGAGCCCCAGGTTGAGACATAGAGTCCGGGTCGGGTTTGGGTTCGTTGTGTGACCTTGGATGAGTCACTTCAGCTCTCCGGGGCTTGGTTTTTGCAGCAGGAAAAGGAAAGCGCTTGGGAAGGGCTCCCTGGATTTCAGAACGCTCTTCTCTCTGCAGGCTGCACATCTTCCTCTGGCCGTACGTTGTAGACGGAGTAATGCATGCAGGATAACCTAAGGTGGTGTGGGGAGCAAGTGTGAAATGCATAGGCTGTGATTCAACCCGTCGCTGCCGTCTGCCGGAACCCCACTGGCTCTGAAATGGAGAGGAATTTTGATTCCCATTCAGCGGCCGAGTGTTTCTCTTGATTGGAGTGCATCTTGGAACGTAAGGTTATAGATGCAATGAAAAGCATAGGGCACAGCTGTAGGATGCTGAGAATAACTCTGATGGGGGTGATTTTACAAAGGCGTGGGCCACCTCTAAAACTCTATCCTCAATCAAGTGCCCCACGTAGGGCTGAAATGGGGAGAGCATTCGAGGGCCCCTCGTTTTGCAGATGGCAAGACCGAGGCCCAGAGAGGGGGAGTCACCGGCTCAAGGTCACACAGCAAGAGTAGCTGACACAAGCACCCAATATACATAGAGGAGCACCATCATGGAGTGCACAGTCCTCCACACGAGAAGGCAGGCAAGAGGGATCAGGTGACATCGTAGAGCTTCTCCTGAGAGTCAGATGCCACTGTCACATTCCTTCCATATCCTTCTGTGCCTCTGTTTCTCCGTATGTAAAATGGAAATATTATAGTAAAGTCGACCTCATGGGGTTGTTGAGATGCGTTAAAAAGGGAAGCCGTACAAGGTGCCCGGCTTGTCCGAAGCATCTGGAACTGTTCTTAACATCACTTCCTGTATATTACTGCATGTAACCCTCTTCGTGCTCCAGGAGGCGGGCACTCCAACGTCCCTGGCTGCGTAGATGAAGCAAAGGGCTCAGAATGCCTGAGTAATCCACCTGTAGTGACAGTCCATCAGGGGTCAGAACCTGGCAGTGAACTTGAGAACTCTGACACACGTAAGCCCTGTTTTTACCAACTGCACCTTTTTCAAGGTTGATGCCAGTCTTGTGATGGAATGGACGATGCTGAGATCAGAAAGGTTAAGGTACATGCCCGGGACCACACAGCCTAGAAGGGGCATAGTCCTGACTTGTCCAGCTCAGGACCCAGTTCCTTGAGTCCCAGTTGGTGTAATGTGTGTTCCAGGGAGATTTTTCTGAGCGATAAATATATGCTTCCCAGGAAGGGGATAGCATTGTCTCTCTTTGTTCACGGAAAGATCCCCAGTGAACCCAACACATCTGTGTTAGAAGGCAGATGAAAAGAATAAAACATGCAGATACAGTGGCAGGAAAGGAAGCTGTTTTGGGGGAGAAAATGTCTGTAACCAACCAGGACTCTGCCTTGTGACTGATTTCTCTCGCCTTCTTGCTCTTGGCTGCCAGGTCATCTACCGCGATGCCCATCACTTCCAGGGTCAGGGGCCTGCATCCCCGACACCACCACTCCGGCTCCTGCGGCAGCCCGCTGAGTCAGCTCTTGCCTGGCCCCGTGGAGCCCCCGTCCATCAAGGGCCTGTACTACCGCCGGGCCCGGAAGGTGGGCGCGCTGGACGCCTCCCCCACGGCGGACCTCAAGAAGGAGATCCTGGTGAACGTGGGGGGCCGGCGGTACGTGCTCCCCTGGAGCACGCTGGATGAGTTCCCCCTGAGCCGCCTGAGCAAGCTCAAGTTCTGCCGCAGCCAGGAGGAGATCGCGCAGCTCTGCGACGACTACGACGAGGACAACCAGGAGTTCTTCTTCGACCGGAGCCCCAGCGCCTTCGGCATGATCGTGAGCTTCCTGGCAGCCGGCAAGCTGGCGCTGCTGCGGGAGATGTGCGTGCTGTCCTTCCAGGAGGAGCTGGCCTACTGGGGCATCGAGGAGGCCAACCTGGAGAAGTGCTGCCGGCGGAAGCTGCTCAAGAAGCTGGAGGAGCTGGCGGAGCTGCGCAGGGAGGAGGAGTCCCTGCAGCGCCAGCAGGAGGCGGGCGGCCCCGCCGCGGACCCCTCGCGCTGCGGGCTCTGCATGGACTGGCTGCGGGAGACGGTGGAGAACCCGCAGTCCGGGCTGCCCGGGAAGGTCTTCGCGTGCCTGTCCATCCTCTTCGTGGCCACCACGGCGGTCAGCCTGTGCGTCAGCACCATGCCCGACATGCGGGCCGAGGAGGACAAGGTGAGTGGCTTCTGACCAGGGTCCGTGTTCCCTTCAGGCCCCGCGCCCAGGGCCCACGAGATGTAGGGCTTATGAAAATGTGTTTTTTGTTTTTGCTTGTTTGTTTTTAAATATATTTTATTGAGTTGGGGGTTTTTAAAAATATATTTTATTGATTTTTTTTTACAGAGGAAAGGAGAGGGATAGAAAGTTAGAAACATCGATGAGAGAGAATCATCCATCAGCTGCCTCTTGCACACCCCCCACTGGGGATGTGCCGGCAACCGAGGTACCACAGGCTGACACTCTATCCAGTGAGGCAAACTGGTTTCAGCTGAAAATGTTTTTAATGTCTCTGAAAATAAGGGGGGGCGGGGAGGAGTGAATAGTATCCAGCGTGGATATATTCATGTTCAGACCGGCACGGTTGTAAAAGAGAACCTTTCGTGTATTTTTTTGGATTTCATGTATTATCTGTGGCCCACGAAGGCCGCAGTACCATGGGCCACGGAAGTCATGAGGTGGCCCTGCTTCTGATCCTGAACCCTGGACACGGACAAAGCCGTCCCTGTTCTCACAGCTCCTGACTCTGTGACCGCTAGCAAACGGCTTCGTTTCTCTCAGCCTCAGTTTCCTTCTCCCTAAAATGGGTACCATTTCCGTGAGGTTTTACACATTCTGGGCACTTGTGGAATTATCGAGCAGCTGTTCTGTGCCACGCACTATGCCAGGCCACACACCCCTGTCTGCCTGAGCCATCACTCAGTGGGCATCCCAGCTGCATTTTCAGGGGAAGAAACGGAGGCCTGGGCACTTAGCTTGCTCAGAGTTGCAGAGTACACATGCCGGTGGTGGTAGAGATACGCCGCCCGCACTTTTCCTGCTTGGTCCTTCACGCCCGAGCTCTCAGCCATTCCTGCTGCGTGGGGAACTGGGAGGTGAGCTAACTTTTGTGTCTGCCCCAGGAGGCCAGAGCAAAATATTCTCTTGCCTACTCCTGCACTCTCTTCCCAAGAGCCAGGGGGATTCTGAGACTCCCCCAGGGGGTCAAATGGTCTGAGAAATGAGATAAGACTCTAACAAGTTGTTGGGAAGGTATTGGAGAGCTTCAAACTGGGACCTGGGTTGATTCCTAATTTAAAGTGTTGCTCCTGCCCAGCTCTATCCTCCTCCATGGCTCCCCATCACCCTCACTTACAGAGCTCACATTATAGTAGATGGAGGAAACACATCCATAAGACAGTGCCCCCTATATATGACTCATAACTATTGTTAGTCGATGAAAGGTCCCTTCCCTTAAAGATATATCGCATGGCAATATGGTAGGATCAGAGAACTTTCCAGATAGAGAGGACTTAGATGGAGAACCAGCCGGTTCCTCACCCAGAGTAGGCTCTCAGCAATTGTTTGTTTAATAAAATGTATCTTATCCAACGTATACATGTTTAGTCCTAAAGAAAACCAACCTAAATGTTCCACTTTCTAATAGTTCCCCACCCTCTTTCCCCCCGATCGGGGACTACAGCTTCAATTGTAGGCATTTTTTCATTCTTCAGCATGGTATCATGTGATTTAGGATCCTGCCTGTTCACAGGAATATTTACACGTGGACACTGCAGTGAGAGATCGGGACAAGATAACTGGCCTTTGTCCCCCATTTCCAGTAGCTGAGGGGGGGCCCTGGCTTTCCCCCAGCCTGTTCCTCTTGGGGACTGCCTGGGGGCCAGGATTTAGACGGTGCAGCGGGACAAGGTCTTTTCAAAGCCCACCGCTCTGAAAATCGCCCAGGCTGTGAGCCCACGTTTAGTTTAATGAAAACTCGGAAAATCAAATGAGCGGTGGGCGAGAGGCCGCAGAGCCAGGCAGCCCCGAGGCCGAGCGGAGCCATCAGCTGCTTCCTCTGCTCTGGGTTAAAGGGTGTCACCTTGGGAGGCTGGGAGGCGCGGCCCCCAAAAGAAGGTGCCTGTTTCCCCGCTTTGATAATCACAGCCATTCAGAGAGCTGGAGCGCTGAGGACAGGGCTCTCAGGTCCTTACATTTACATAAAAAGATGATGTTCTCTCCCAGCCACACATTCCTGGTTTTTTTCATTTTTGCCCCCAAGGATGTCAGCCTGAACGCAGTGAGCTGAGGGCATGCTGGCAGGATGCTTTGGGGGATGGGCTGTGCAGGGAAGCACGGGGCCCAGTGGTCCCCAGGGGCTCCAGCATCGCCCACTCAGATGAATTAATGCCAAGCCCCCTTGCCCCCATCAGACTCGAAAAGTATAACGCTGGGCTGGGTGGAGAGTTAGAAGACACCCGAAGAAAGTAGTCTTCCTTTTCCCGTCTCTTCTCGCAGCAACATCCCTTAGAGAAAACGTAGCAGTTGGGGTGAAAGGTCTGTGCCCTAAATTGCAGATGGAGGAGGGAGGAGGTAGTATAGACAGAAAGGACCAAGCCAAGTGCCCAAGCACCTCTGGAAGCACTCAGACCTCACTGGGTTCCCCCGGGAGCCCATCTCTGAAGGGATGAAAAGACAGTGCTTGTCAGTCACCCTCATGAGGCTGACATTGACAGGACAAACCAAGTCCTTGCGGCAGCTTTGGAAAGTGGATATGTGGCTGCCCCCATTTTACAGGTGAGGAAACTGAGGCTCAGGGAAGTTGGATCGCTTTCTGAAGGTCACAGTATGTGGCAGAACCGGACTTGCATCACCTCTGCTTGGCTCTAAAACCGGCCTCCACCGCCGGGCCACTCTGCCTGCAGTCCGGATTCTTGGCCTCCCTAGCACTTAGCGTTTCAGAGGCAGCCAGACCTTGTGAGGTGCTTCTCTGTCTGGTGTGATGGGTCAGACCACAGACACTCTGGGATTGAATCTTGAGCCCCCGCTCCCCTGTATGACCTCATTGACCTCAGAAAAGTCAAGTTGGTTGAGCCTCAGTTTCCACATCTGTAAAATGGGGATGTGATTAGCCCTTTCCTCAAGGGGTGAGGGTGACTTATTTGTGTAAGCAGTTGTAATGATGCTGACACATAAGAAGTGTCAATAAATTTAGCTGTCATCATTATTATTCACTATTCAGTACTTATTAATAGGAAATCACAAGTTTTTAAAAAAATATATTTTATTGATTTTTTTTTTTTACATAGAGGAAGGGAGAGGGATAGAGATGATAGAAACATCAATGAGAGAGAAACATCGACCAGCTGCCTCCTGCACCCCCCCCCCACAACTGGGGATGTGCCCTCAACCAACGTACATGCCCTTGACCGGAATCCAATCCGGGACCCTTCATTCTACTGGTCAACGCTCTATCCACTGAGCCAAACTGGTTTCGGCTGGAAATCACAAGTTTTATTGATTTTTAGAGAGAGAAGAAGGGAAAAAGAGAGAGAGATAGAAACATCGATGAAAGAGAAACATTGACCGGCCACCTCCTGAACATCCCCTACTGGGGGGATGAAACCTGCAGTCTAGGCATGTGACCTAACCAGGAATCGACCTCTTGGTTCATGGGTCGGCAAAGCTCAACCACTGAGCCACACTGGCCAGGCAAAATTAAGCATCTGAAAGTGGACCAGTAATACAGTAGCAATTAAGTACATTCACAGTGTTGTGTAGTCGATACCTCTGTCAAATTCCAAAAGAAACCCCTGTACCCATTAGGCAGTCAGTCCCCATCCCTCTACCCAACCCCACCACACCCCCAGCCCCGGCAACCACCAATCTGCTTTCTGTCTCCATGGATTTCCCTCTTCCAGACATTTCATTTACGTGGAATCATGGAATCCGTGAATCATGGAATCACAGTGAAGTATTAGCTGAGTAATACTTCCCTGTGACGTCACGATTTGCTTATCCTTCCATTTGGTGATGAATGCTGCAGCTTTCCAAGTTCTTGCTTCCCTCTGCCCGTGACCTCTGCCAAGACTGTCAGCTCTGTCATTCACTCAGCGCCCTTCCACCCGGCCTCAGCCCTCGCCCGGCAGGTCTGCTGGTCAGAGCACCCTCCCTCCCCCTGGGGGAGCTGAAGGTCACTGTCAGCTGCAGTTGAACACTCATTCGTCCTCTCTCCACCTCTTTCTTCCTCTGTGCTGTTCCTGAGACATCCCGACAGCTGCAGACAGAGCCTCACCATGGAAAGGAGCCAGGTCTCTGTGTTGCTAGTCCTGGGTTCACATCCCAGCTCGGCCGTGCCCTGGCTCTGCCCTTGGACAAGTCCCTCCGTTTCTCTGTGCCTGTTTCCTCACCAGTCAGAGTGGGTAACCGTAACGCCTACTCAGAGGGTGGTGATAGGATTGCATGATCCTATTTATCATGTGTTGGCACAGAGCGAACCTCGCTGTTTTTGCCCACCGTTTGGGACTCAGCTCACTCCCCTTCCACCTGCTCATCTGCTTTGCTCATCAACTTCTCTCCCAGCTCCTCAGAACCCAAATGGCGGCGGCCAAGTCAGCGGCCAGTTCACTCAAATATCTTGTTTCCAGTGCCATCCTTCATGCAATCGTAGATCTTCCCTGAGGGCCTACTCAGTGCTGGGGACACAGGGTGCTGGGGACACAGTGGGGACAGGCACAAACCTGCTCTCTCTCTACCTACCTGGCAGCCTTTGCTCATTTCTCCTCCCACCCTGGATCTGCTCCTGTGCCCGAGGTCTGCTTGGCACACACACCGGATTGCGGCTGCGCAGTGCCCTGGTCCCAGGTCCCAGAACCCAGGTGGGGCTTCGGGTGGGACCCTGGGGCTCTGCTTCTCACTGGCCCTCACATCCTGCGCTGTGGCTCAGGCCTCTCGCTAAGGGGCAGGGCCGGGGAAGGAGCCCAGAGAGGTGTTTTAAAAGACCAGGCGGAACTCCTGGGGACCCGGTGAACCTGCAGCAGGCTGCCCAGAGGCACAGGTGGGGGAAATCACAGGCAGGAGAAGGGAGGCAAGGAAGGGAAGGAGGGAGAAAGGTAGGGAGGGAGGGAAGCCTGAGCTGCGGGTGGAGCTGTGGGAGCAGCACTGAGCTGAAGAGGAGTGAGAAGTGGCTGAATGGGCCG